CACCCCTCTTGAAAAAAAGAAAACTCAAAAAGTCTTCCAAGTAGAGTAATATCAAAAAGATGACATCCCATCAACCATCAACTAGTCCAAAAATCTTTCCATTGTCACCAACTTTTCCTTCCTAAAACCAAAAATCTTTTCATTTTTCAGTAGAGTAGTTTCTTCTTTGTTTTTTCATTAAAGTTCACTGTAAACCAAAAAAAATTCATCTTCCTTTGTTTAACAAGATGGCATCAAGTAGTCAAAAAGGAAATATTTTTATGAGACCTACAAAAAGTGTAGGAGTAGATTTTGATGATAAACCTTTATGGAATCATGTGAAAGTTATTTCGATTGCTCCAAATGGGGGTGGAATAGAACATGGTCTTGTAACTATTGCAATAAAATAGTTACGGGATCATATAATAGGGTGAAAGCACATCTTTTGAGATTATCGGGTCATGATGTTGAAATATGTAAAGAAAGTAGTAGTGATATATATGCGACTTTGAAGATGGAGCATGAACAAGCCGAAAGAAAAGAACCGTTGTTCAAGTTGATGCAAGAAACAAAGCTGATTATATATCACTTCCGGAGGGGACTGATTTAATTCAACAAAAAAAGAGAAAGAGTTCGAGTAGTGGAGCTATAGGAAAATCATTTGGCATCTATGAGAGAAATACGAGTAACTAGGACCAATTTAGTCACGTTTTCATGTTCCAATTGAACACTGTCCATTTTTGATTATTCTCAAAGGATAAGATTATTCTCTTTACCAAACATATGCCTTCTTTTCTTTTACACTTCACAATCGTATTCTACTCAAAAATCCGTAAACAAAATATCTCTCTTCTCTGCGAATCATTTTTTGAACAATGAAATCCATAACATAAAGGGGGGGGGGGAAAGTGCTAAAAAACCGATTCTAATTCTATATATTCTTTCTGATTTCTATGCCTTTATCTCAGCGAAAAAATCAAATGTCCAATCCATTTATTTTTCTGGTATTCAAGCAGGTTGGAATATGTATTATCATAATAATGGTAGATATGGTCGACAAATTAGCCGCTAGGATGTTCTACGCATCAGGTTTATTGTTCAACTTTGCAAACTCTCCTTATTTTAAAAAATATTCTAAGTTTCTAGCCGAAAATTCCATTCCCGGTTATATTCCCCCATCATATAATAGATTGAGGACAACTCTTTTAGCTCAAGAAAAAACACATATTGATAGAAAGTTGCAACCAATTAAAGGTACATGGAAAAAGAAAGGATTGTCGATTTGTTCGGATGGATGGTCCGATACTAAATATTTATTGAAGCAATAGAAAATGTAGGTTCAAACAATGTTGTTCAAGTTATTACGGATAATGCAAGTAATATGAAACTTGCCGGTACTATTGTGGAGCAAAAATATCCTCATATATTTTGGACTCCTTGTGTTGTTCATTGTTTGAATCTAGCTTTGAAAAGTATGTGCCAACCTTCGGAAAAATCACCTCACTTTACTAATTGTAAATGGATTTTAGAGTTACTTAGTGAAGTGAGTAATTTGAAGAACTTTGTTGTGAACCATGACTTGGCACATGCACTTTTTCAAAAATATTCGGATTTGTGTTTGTTGAAGGTTGGTGAAACAAGATTTGCCTCACACATCATTATGACCACCCGAATTCGTAAAGTGACCTTCTTTGGAGAAAATGGTCATGGATGATGAATGGAAGAATTATAAGGGGGATAAGGGAATTGAAGCCAAAACACGTGAAATAAAATCCCTTATAATGAATGATGAAAAATGGGATAGTATTGATTATTTCTTGAAATTTACGGAACCAATTCTTGATATGCTAAGAAGTGCCGATATTGATGGTCCAAAATTACATCTCATCTATGATATGTGGGACTCAATGATTGAGAAGGTCAAGAAAGTCATCTTTGAGCATGAGGGGAAAGATCTCATTTCCGGTCAATCAATTTTTTTTGATACTATTCATGATATTCTTGTGGCTAGGTGGAACAAAAGTAACACACCTCTACATTGTATGGCACATTCTTTGGTTCCCAAATATTATCATGAATCATGGCTTCAAGGAGAGAATGGAATTCGAAAGCTAGCTCCTAATGAAGATAGTGAAATTTCATTGAATAGAGTCAAGTGCTTTCAAAGGTACTTTAAAGATTCTAATGAAATGAAGCAAGTCTCATTGGAGTATGGATCCTTTTGTAGCAGAAGTGGCTATTTTAGTGAGCCTCACGTGATTGAGGCTATGATGTATGAAGATTCTCTTTCTTGGTGGGCAAATCATGGGGTCTCGGCTCCACTTTTGCAACAATTAGCTTACAAGTTGCTTACTCAACCGGCTTCTTCCTCTTGTTGTGAAAGAAATTGGAGTACATATTCTTTGATTCACAATATCAAGAGAAATAAGTTAGCAACTTCAAGAGCCGAAGATTTAGTGTTTGTACATTATAATCTCCGGTTGTTGTCTCGCAAGAAAGAGAAATATATAAATGGGCCAAGCAAATATTGGGATGTTGGTATGTCTATATTTTCTTTATTATTTTCTTCAATTATTT